ATTTGTTAATTATATATCAAATTGGCAAGGTGGCTCAGCTGGCACGCTATCAACGCATTGATGTCCAAAGACCTGGGTTCGAACCCCAGGTCTGAATAATTTCGCTATTATTTTTCCATACTCATTCCTATGCAGGCACAATGTTATGGTTCACCATGTACCATCACAATCCAAGCAGCCACGCGTCCTGGCAGGTCCATCAAAGGGTTCAGAGGTAGGGTGTACCATGAATCCAAGTCAACGCGCTAGCATGCAAACTGGCAAAGTCAATGGATCAAAGCTTTAATGGGCCAGAACCTTTGGATCAACACCTCCAATTTGGGGCTACCCCCCCCCCCCCCCCCCCCCTGGTTTGCTTTTCCTTTTTATATTTTTATTTTCTCAATTGCTATGTTATTTTATTTTTCTTATTTGTTTTCATTAATTAATTATGTTTACAAAAAAATATGAAAAACATCATAAATTCAGAAAAGGCAAAAAAGTATAATATTTATTTATGTTAATTATTTTTATGAATAAATGTATGTAAATAAATTTAGTTTAATTAGGATTTTGCAATTTTAATTCCTTTCATATTAAATAAAAATAATTAGAATTAGGTTAATTAATAATTTCCACCCCTTTTGATTTTTTTTTCCTTTGTTACCATAATATTATTATTATTTATTTTCATAAATTAAATCTTGCATGTAGATTAACTTAGATTTTAATTAGGTCAAGAATTCAATATTTTCACAATAAACTTAAAAAACATTAGAATTAGGGTTTAGTATTTCATTTTAATTTTAATTGATTTTTCTTTTTCTTTTAAATCTAAAAAACACAAAATACCAAAAACATTTATTTTTTTTAATTCCTTATTAAATTTAATCTTTTTGCAAGAAGGGTCCAACGCCCATTGTTGTTAATTATTTTGTTTCGCGTATTTTACTTTGTCGCTTATTATAATTGTGTACATGTCCCAAAGCCTTGTAATAATTTTATTTCTCGCACTTTTATTCGCTTTATTTATTTTTCAGTCAAATCGGGTCCGGTTTAATTTTGGCGATGTGGACCCGCGCCATTTGTAATAGCCTTAGATTTATTTTTCGCAAACTTTATAACTGTTAAATATGCATGCAAGAATGTATGGCCCTAAAAATAAAATCAAGCGTAGATCACAACAAACATGACAAGACAAAATAATTGAAACATGACACACGAACCGCACACACCACCCCTAGGGTACGCCTCACTGTTGCCTTTCGAAAGGTGATCGTCGAGTAGAGGACGTCTTAGTAAGTCCTCATGATCCGGGAACCTGGCATGAGGGTAGCTTCTAAGGTGTCTTCCCATTACTCTGGTGATCACCACGTCCCTAAAACTCGAATTGACCCGAACCCCTCCAATGGTGGTGCTACCTACCTCTCAATGGTGGGATGGCACTACTTTAAAGGACATTTACACAGACGAATTCCTTAGGGTAGGTAGGTTCTCAAGGATACTTGCTCTAATTTTAAAACAAACAAAAATCTTTTCACACCAACACTTTTCAAAAGCTTTCAAAGCAAATTTTTCAAACACTCTGACGTACGAGTCGAACTGAAATTTTTTCAAAGAAACTTTTTAAACCCACATTGAAAAGCAAGCAAACATTTTTGAAAACACATTGAGCAAGTATCTAAGAGCCCATGGATAACCATGGATAGAAAGGGTGCTAACACCTTCCCTTTCTATAATCTACCTCCCGAACCGAGAGCAATCTCTTTAAAGGAATTTTTCTGTGCTTTTGTCCTTTCCATTTGGAGAAAATAAAAGACGGTGGCGACTCTTGCTTCCGCGACATTTTCGCGATCCAGCGTTAAACAGTCAGTTCCAGATCCACCGATCACAACGTGTACATGTTATTGGGTCTCCCTGTCGACGGTAAGGCGGTTAACGGGTCGGTTCAACAACTCAATTCTCTGTGTGAAGAATTGTTGGACAAGGATATGGTTTAAAGGTGGTGGTGCGAGAGGTTAGGGTATACAACTTACTGAGCTCAAAAATCATTATGCGACTCTGGAATTGAACGAAAATTCCTCTGAGCTAGCTAAGATAATAAAAGCTAGAAATTATATAATGATACTATTTGGAACCTTTTTATTTCTCGAACGGGAAATAGTGTAAATTTTATGTATTTAAATTTAGTTAGAGACTTTGAAAAAACTAGAAAGTATAGTTGAGATTCTGCCATTTTAGCCCATCTATACAGTTCCTTGTGTAAAAATACAATCAAGAAAAAATATATATTTTATGACTGCGCTTTTTTACTTCAAGCCTGGGGTTGGTGGAGAATGGGGTCCCTAAACCCCGTCAACAACAACGCATTCGTTTTCCCATATGCAAAAAAGTAAGTCATTAACTTATATCATTTATTATTATTCATCTCTTCACCAAATATATGATAAAATAAAATATTTTTCAACTTCTTTAGGTACTTCGTGAGGGGTGTAGATTACGGAAAAAATCTAAGATTCAATGTCGCTCTATATCGCAATTTATTGGATCACCTTGGCTCGAATGATGTACGTCATACCTTTCAACTTTTCTACTTTTAAATTATTTATTTATTACATTTTCATTAAGCTGATTTAATTTTATCCGCAGTTTGTCTGAAGACCATATTTGAGTTTGGACCATGAACCAAACTCTGAGGATGCAGTAATTTGGAGCGCAAAGACTGCAATCATACAGTTCAATATTATGGAGATGCACCACAGCGACCGTGTCAAGATGCAGTTTAGAATGCATCAAGAGATACCCTGCGATCCAACTTATTTGTCCCCGTGGCATCTCAAAAGGGTCGCGCCCAATAGGGTCTTACCAACTGGAAAGATTTTGCTCCAGAATGGTGTAAGATGTGGCAGAGGCGTCACCGACATGTCTTGCAATTCCCAATTTTCCTCAACCATGGTAATATGCGCCACACGGATCAGTATTTAGCTTGGTACAGATCGGTTAGTACCTCAGAAATGCACGTGTCTCATCCAAGATATTTGGTTGATTCACGAACACAATAAACACAACCCTCATTTCCCCAACAACAAACCCAACACACATCAACCTCCCACCAACCTCCCCGACAAAACATAACCACAAACACCCAACCACAATCACCACCACAATACGATTACACCCACATGCCCCACAGCCAACCACAATCACCACCTCAATACCAATACCCTTGTATGCCTCACACAATCACAATTTCAATCACAATATTAATACACCCGCATGCCCCACACACATTTCAGTCTTCTACATATCCCAATATGAGCCCCTCAACATCTAACCTTAGCCCTGATCTGGGATTTTCCGAAGACTATGAACCAACCGACCCAACTTACCATCAACCGCCACATCACCAAAGCACCCAACATTCCCAATACCAAACACCCCAAGATCCATTTCCTTTCTACCTCGTACTCAGGCGACCAGTGCTACAAACCAACCATGGAACCCCACCCACCACCAACACGATCAAACTTTGAGGGTATGGGTAACCGATTGTACCAAAGCGGATCTTCTAGATATGGAGATCTGACTGATTTCATGAATCCAGAACGCATTGACTTCGCTGGATCATCGACCCTACCACAACAGAAAATGCGACGAAATCCAACACGGAAAAGGCGAGCACGGGAATGCAGAAGCGGGGGTCATTACCAGATTCCGGGAAACCACTGATTAATCTGTATTTTTTATGTAATCGTTATGTGTGTAATCATATTATGTAAATAAAAAGTCAATTTCCTTGATCCTATATCGTTTACGTAACGTACCGCATTTAAAATAAAAAATGCGAAAAATTGTCAGCCATTTGCACTAAGGCGCCATCTCACTTGGCTTAGGGCAAGCCTTTTACACATAGGCACCAAGTGAGATGGCGCCTCCCTTTTAAAATAAGGTGCATGCGCCAACTGGGTTGACTCCTCCCTTATGAGGTTTTCTGAAACATTGTTATTTGCGTAATTTTTTTCGAAACATGATTATTTACAGAAGAAAAAAATTTTAATACCTGATTATTATAAAAAAAATCCGCATATTTAATTTAATTTTCAACTTATTTCTAGAAACTATTTATAATGGCATATATAAACAACTTTAATTAGACAAAAATAGTTTTCTTTATTTGTTTTTTATCATAGAATTAGAGATAAATTATACATAGATAGTTACATGATAATCATGTATGTTATCAATTCTTTCTAAGTTGTTTATCCAAAAATGAGAAAAAAAGATTGGTTGAGGTTAAAAAGTTTTATCAGGCACTTTCTCAACACCATATTTTTCAAATCTCATTCATTAGATTACATATTTAAATTACACTTGAATTTTTATATCCAGTTTTATAATTTATTATCATTAAAAATATAGTTTTATACCTCAAATGTAAATAAATTAACATGAAAAAATTCACGTCTTCATTGTTGTACCTAGAATAAGAATGCCTCAAAAAAAGTAAAAGTTGAAACTAAAGTATCCAACAAATAGTTATAGTGATATCATAACATCTTAAAATTCAAAGTAACAGCATATACTGACGCCATGCATACTGCCACCTGTCTGCATTGAAATTGATTTTAGCAAGACAACAGAAGATTACTGTACTGATATACCAGGGACGAGATCAACATAATGTTTACATATTCAAACACAATTGTGAGAAAGAAAGTTTACATAGTCAGAAACATTGTAGTAAATCCTGAAGTCCAAGGATTTTTAACCAAGTGATATCGCACACAATCATGGGCATATTGAAGGGACACTTTCCAAATGAATGCAAGAACGTTTACACCACTAAATGATGTACCAAATCTATAGTAATGGTAGACATCATTGACCAGAGAAAACAGGAGAGCACCAACAGCTAATTTAGTTCAAAATTCTGCTGATTGTAAATTGTATAACTGAAACACTCACCAAAAGACTGTCTTCTAGGCATGCTAATAATATGACGAAAAACATTAGAGGACAATTCAAGAAGCTTCGTCATCAACGTAGTTGACAGCTTGGTCCCAATAATGAGGAACTCCAGCATCCACAAAAACTTTCCGAGCAGCTGCTTCAGTGATGCAATCATGAACACTGAACCTATTGAAGCTTGGTTTGGCAATACTTCCTTGCCAAACCAGAACACATTTATTGGCAGGCTTGTCATCATCTGAATCTTCGTCTTCTTCTTTCTCTTTAGAAAAATCACTCCAATTAATACGTCTAAGCATAAGTTTCCCATACCTCTTAATTGACTTGCTACCACCTTCAACCACCACAATACTAATACCATCACAAATCACAGAACATCCAGTCAAACGGTTTTCTTGAGCATTAACATCAACTCTAAAGCGGGCTTTTGGATGAGAGAGGTCATTAATCCTGTAAAGTGACACAAGTGTGTCCAATGTATTTGGGTCATCAAACAGCTTCCTTTCCTTCTTCTCGCGCAGCTCGGCAGGAGTTAGCTTGCGCGCAATATTCCTATCTATGTGAGCCTGCTCACGCTCAGCAGCTGCATTTCGTACTTCCTTTTCAAGCCTCGTGGGATCTTGAGTTGCTTCAGCCCCTAGTACTTTCATTAAATTGCTCATCTTGACCTTTGGTTTTGGCGGTTCAATGACACCCTGTCTAATCATCTCCTGCCGCTCTTTCTCCTTAGCTATTCGTCTTTGGGTCCTGAGTTTCTTCTGCTCCTGTTTGGTTAGCTTGAGGGGTTGAGGTGGTGGGGGGGCAGGTTCAGCAGGTGGTTCAATGGGACGAGGATGCTCCACATAAAAGGTGATTTTTTCCATTTTCAGTTTGTCTTCACCTATAGGTCCATCAGCAATGTCACCATAATTTCCAGAATGCAGAAGTGCCAGGTCCCTGACAAATTCCAAAAGTTAATTTAAGATTATATACACAGACATGGAGAGACAAATATTTTAAATACGTTTTCTGATTCTAGTTTTTTTACTATTTAAAAGACAATATCATCAAGACAGGCAATACTATATTTAGATGTAGTCACTCATGTCATATTGTTCATTTTGCAGCCATGTCTAAGTATGTTATACCACTATAAAGAATGGAGGGAAGCACCTAAAATATTGTACAGGGTACTGTGTATTGTCTCCACGTTCTGGGCGAAAGATACCGTCTGACTGACTATCACAATTGCATGTCGCCCTCCCATAACAGCTTAACCTATATTTACATGACAATATCCTCAAGACAGGCAATACTATATTTAGAAGTAGTCACTCGTCATATTGTTCATTTTGCAGCCATGTCCAAGTATGGTATACCACTTTAAAGAATGGAGGGAAGCACCTAAAATATTGTACAGCGTACTGTGTATTTTCTCCACGGTCTGGGGGAATGATACCGCCTGACTGACTATCACCAATTGCATGTCCCCCCTCCCATAACAGCTTAACCTATATTTATCATCCCCATACACCTCACTCATTAACTAACAACCCTTCTTTCTTGCTCTAAATAATATACTTAACATACATTGGGCTAGGACCTTGTACCAACACTGGTCCATACTGAGCTCCACTTCTCTCCTTTGCACCATCCACGCTTAGATTATTATCCTCCACTAAGGTATACCATGTATTCGAATCAAGTCTTTAGCAAAAATACTAACCAGACTCCTTGTTGAATATAGTCTAAGAAGAATGAAGTGACTATAATAACTAAAAGCTCTATAATCGAGACACATCCTCCATGTGGTTTTCTACTTCAATATATTCGAAGGGCTGAAAAGATGCTTGTAAAGCCTAATCTTCTGTTGCTGCAACATCCTTCACCTGCTTCTATCTCATCCTTATGATGACGATGAGAATATCTCTAAGGATGAATACTTCTTGGTTCTGTTCCTACTCCTAGATGCAATACAATCACATGGACAATGTTCCATATGAGTAGCCATGTATTAAACACCTTCGGAAAATTGTGCAAGTAATTGTGAAATCTCCTCTTGCTGTTGTTTGGAGGGCAACAGACCCTTTACTTCCACTAATTCATATTCTGCTTGAGATCTTAAATCCCCATACTCCCTTTTCCACCAGCCGATAAGGTGTGATACAAAGAGGGCCTGTTGAATTGTTGCAATTCATGTTTTGACGTAACATTTTTCCCCTTTTCCCTTTCAACTCCGCCATATTCCCGTCATACTGTGCTATTAAGTGCATGTTTGGTTTGGCTTTTGGAAGGGCCAAAAGCAATTCTAGTGTAGAATTGATTCTGGGTGATTTTGAGATGTTTGATTAGGTAAAAGTAAAATTGATTTTGTCTCCAAAATTGATTTTACTTGAAGCTAGAATTTGTAACCAACCTCCAGAATTGAGTGGAAGATTTTTACACTTAAATTTATTGTTCAACTCACTTTTACATAAATGTATCCAAACATAATCAATTCTGTTAAACTCAATTCTGATAAAATCAATTCTACCAAATTCAATTATGCTAGAATCAATTTTGTCCACCGTCAATCCAAACACACTCTAAGTCATATATATCATGTCAATTCATAATGACCTCCCCCAAGGTCAGCACCCAAACAAGTACCAATATAATGTCAAGTCCGCTCAAACCAACAGATAGGCATCTAAAACTACATCTATCTCTCCTGACTAAAATCAGCAGCCTAAATTGCTTATGGGGGCATTGGTGTAAGAGGTGAACTTTTTCCCAAGTCTCCAAGACTTTTCCCTACAACATGATCCTCTGAAGCATGGGTACTTCTAAAATGGTGAAGTACCGGTACCGGGTACACACCTGTACCTGGTACACGTACCGTACTCATGGTACTTCATTTTTTTCTTACCATTCGAATTTGAGTGAAAATTGTGGGTTTCTCAATTATCAATATACTAAATTTAAGTAATTTAATATCTGTTATTGTATCTTAACATTATTTTTTATTTTTTTAAACTTTAATAGTAATATATTGTTATGAACCTAACAATTTAGTTATCTATTCATAGATTGTATAGAAAACTCTTATTTTTTATTAACGTACCCGTCCCTTTGTTTTGTTAAAAAAATGTTGTATCTTGTACCGGTACCAGTACCCGCACCGGATACCGTACCCGTGTATGAGATCAGGTCTGCCCTGCTCCACAACTTCCTCCAAGATGATTCAGATCCACGTGATCATACTACTATGATTCCCTCTGGACCATGTTTACCCACAAACTCCTCGAGTAATATGGAATGTGATTTTCTTGTTTCCCGCTCCTTCCTTGTGAATTAGATAATTCAAGCTCATCCATCTCTTCAAAAAAGCTGCAGTTGCACCGGCTTACCTCAAAATGCATGTGTAGCTTCTCTTCAGCATGTGATATAACTCATCATCTGCTTCAATACCTCTACTGCACTGGCTAACTGATATAGAAAAGGAAATAGGGAAAATCCCTTTGATTACAGAATAATTTGCAGAATTTCAAGGGTCTGCACCTTCCGCAATACCAAAATGGCCCCTTTCCAATCAAATCCAATATACCTTCTCTCAAACACCCCTTCTATTTAGAGGCAACATCTCTCTTCTCCTTATTAATTAATTCCTATTCTAACTGCAGTTACATATCCCAGTTATTTTTAATAAAAACTGCCTAGTAATATTAACTAGCAATGCCCATTATTATTGTTATCCAATTAAGGGCACATATCTAACACTAACCTCATCAATTGCATTCCTGGAGAATAAAGATAACAACACCTCTGTTCCCTGCTTCAACCTTGCAAACTAGAGAATTCAACATCATCCATCTCTCCAACAAGCTTAGAAATTTAGCATCTATTGAACTGGTGAAACTTAGTAAATGCATTATTGGATTAAATATCATAATCCATCACCATATATCCCAACCATTGTAGTGTTCTTCAGGCAAACGACCCACTTATGACGTAACCAATCCAAACAATTGAATTTTCACCACCCCCAATTGTTTCAAACACGCAAATTATTTGAAGGAACTATCATCAAACTTCACGCAACAAGCAATACAAACTTGTTTCAAACACATAAGCTACTCAAAGGATTTATCAACTTTATCCATAACAACCAACAAATTTATCAACATCAAATCGTCTTTTCTTGTTACGGAGTTGGTCAAATTAACTTACCGTGTGGCCCTCAATATTCAAGGCTAATCTATGTTTCTGCTTGATAAAATTAGAGTTTGGTTTAACCCATCCCTAGAAAACCAGCTTATAAGCTAAGGGGTGTCACTCTATAGTCTATATAAACCCTTTAGAGGCTCTTAGTGTAATCAATGTGGGACTTGAGATTTTCTCAATACACTCCCTCATGCCTAACACTATTGGGCTTGGTGCCCGGATATAACCGATGGGTGACCCATGGTCCGATTGATAGGCTTTGATACCATAATAACATTAGAGTTGGGTCTAACTCATGCCTACAACACTGACTTGTAGGGTGAGGGTGTCTTTATGTATAACCTCTCTGGAGTCTAACCAATGTGGGACTTAAAATTTTCTAAATACTACTCATCCAAAGTGTTGTTAGTTTCTATGAATGACTCTGTAATGTGATGGACAAGATCAACCCCCTTCAAATGAAGGCAGTTCCACCTCCCGAACAGTTATACTAATGTACCACACAAAGATATTGCTCCTCTTGATATCTTGTCCACTCTTGTGCTCCTTTTTCAAAACCTATGCATACATTCCAAAAATGATTAATGTATTTCTATAAGCGTGAAGGGAACAACCCCCATGCCATCTTCCAGCACAACCAAAAGACCTTCCTACAAGTCCACTTTCACATCTTGGTGGCATGGATTGCCAAATGTCCGAGAAATCACCTCACCCTATCCATCAAGTCAGACCAGAAATTTTAGAACTATAAAGAGAATTGGAAAGCACAAGGAAAGACTCTTCTGGTGAAATGTATTACTCAATCAACTAAAAGTTTACGTACCTCCCCCGAGATAGATCCCCGCCTAACTTACACACTAATCAAATATCTAACCCAACCCAAAACAGCTTCACCTATATTTACTCTTCCGGTACACCTCCATATCTCCAACCAGCATTGACTTCTTCCTTGTTATAGAATACACTTCATACATTAGACTTCCTAGGACTGAGTTCAACACAACGCCCATAACGTGCTCTATGTCTCTGACGGGCCACCAACATGCTAAACCACCCACTCAATGGAGTTACGAGACATCAAAAAGTCCTTGTAATTTCAAGTCAAACAGCATAGTTGCGGAGTTGCAATTTTTTTTAAACAACCTGGCAGGTCAATTCCTATTTATCACACTGAGCTTTCATCTTACATGATTTTGATCATCATTTAGCATACAGTCATAACCTCTTAAACATGCATATAATGCATGCCTGTTGAATTTCTTCAAAACAATCATTGACGTTCACAAACACAAAACTTAAATAAAAACCAGTAGTCAAGTAAAGCAAGAACTTACCACCACTCAATTTCGGGAATTTGGTCCTTCAGTTTTTCTTTTATTACAACTCTCTCTGTTATCTCTATTAAGTTCGGATTTATATCAGGAGCAGCCTTTGCCTTTGCTAGCTGCGCTTGTTTGGCCTTTTGCTCTTTTGCTTGAGCTTCTCCAAATTTACTCTGCAGGAGGAAAATAATAATCGCAAAGTACGCAAAAGACAATTGAAAAGAAATAAGTAAAAGTGCGAGTAACTAGAACGAGAGAAAATGGAAGAACATAAAGAAACCTTCAATTTTATTGATTCAGCGTCTCTTGACCATTTTCCTTCTTCCACAAACATAAAATTCATCCTCTTGGGCCGCAGGAGCTTTGTTTTGTCGATACCCATCCTCTCATCAAAATGAGGATTCGATTCAGGATCAACTTCTAACACAGGTTTTAGTATTTCAAATGCATCCTTCTTCTGTTTATTGATGTTGACCTGGAAACCACGGACACGGAATGTAGGGTTAAGACAACAATCTTACATAGAAAAAAAGATAAATGATAAAAAGACAATTGAGAAAACTACACACCTTTAATGTACTAAGGTTGCTTGGCTTAGTTACATTAACAACATTTCCATGTTCATCAATCTCCCGTCCCTGGGCGTCAAGACGAAGAACAGGAGCCTTGGTTGGTTTCTGAGGGATAGTACCATCGGGTGTTACAGTTTGGCCAGGAAACATATTTATTATAGGAGCAAATTGTGGATCATGACGGAATCCCATCCTGGCAGCAAGCTCCTGAGCACGTCTGACAGCTTCATAGTTGGTTGCAGTTGTAACACCAGCAACACTAGTACCACTAGCTGGAGGATTTGCAGCAGCAGTAGGAAAAATTGGCATATTGGCAATAGGCCCTGAAGAAGCGGAGGTGGCAGGTCTTGATGCCACTCCCGCACTAAGAGAGGGCGTTGTAGATTCAGTCTTCTGACCCAAATTTGAGGTAGAACTCTTATTCAACTGCACAATGAAATGCATAGCACTTAATCCATTCAGAGGTATAATTATGGTGAAACAGATCAGTATCCTAAGGAGGCTGTCAGAGAACTATCCACCTAACAAAATATAATCATCAGTACAAACAATAGACAACAATTTACCTGAGGAATTCTCTTGATCCTTTCTGACAACACTTTCTGCATTTGTAAAGCCTTCTTAGCCTTTGCTAAGGCATCAATAGAGAGGCTTCCAGGTTTTCCAGCAGTTGAAGAAGACCCATCTGTACTAGATTTTCCAGTAACCTCATGAGACCTGGTAATACTAACGCCCTTATTTTCATTTGTGGTAGAAATTGAAGATACCTTTATAGGAAAGGGAGGAGGAGGGGGCAATGATGTCTCTGGCACACTAGCACGCACCACAGCAGGTGATCCCACCGCAACGCCCTGAAACAGCACAGACCAAACACCAATGAATGCATTTCTCTCCAAATATTCCATACAAATATTCCAAAAGCAAGTAATGAAGTTTAACAGCAACAAAATAAATCACAGCAATGGACAGATAAGGATTGACATACATAATTCACACATAGTATATCAGCATTCTTATTTTAACTTGAAGTGACATTCTAAATCACAACCAATACTATGAAATTAAACATTCCTACAGAGTAACTATAACCACAAAACCACAGAATTAAGCTATGAAACACGGACACTCCGACACTGACAAGACCGGTAATAATTTGAAAAATAATAAATTAAACTTAATCACAAGTGTTGGTACAGATGTCTATTACTAACTGAGGGCATAAAAGAATCTCACGTTATGCGCAGATGCGTTATCTTTGGAAGAGGCAGCGCCATGAGCACCATTAGTGACTTCATCATTGATCTTGGGTTCAATATCATAATCTTCATCTTTCTTCACTTTATCCCCAAACTTTCTACGCTCCTTCTTCACTTCCCTCTTCTCTTCAGAAACCCTAATTCTCTTATCCTCCAAATCCCGATCCTCACTGTGTTCCCTATCCTTCCGTTTGTGAGAATGCGAGTGTCGCGGCTCCACTGAATCTTCCCTCTCTTCATCGCGCTTCACTTTAGACCTACCTTTGCTACCCTCTCTTTCGTCTCTGTCGTATACCCTATCTCTGCTTCCTTCTCGGTCTTCTCTGGTTTTGAGTTCGTGTTTGGCATTCCGGTCCGATCGATGATGACGGTGGTCATCGGAATCGTGGCGGCTCCGATGATGTCTGTGGTCGCGTTCGGAGTGTCGATCTCTGGTTCGCCCATCGGATTTGTCTCTGTCGTCCATTTTAGGGTTTGGGGAGATACTTTGTTCCCTCCTTTTCTATCGTGAATTGGGATTGAGGAATTACTTCAGATTAGCTTTTAGAATGAAATATAATTTATTTATTAGGGTGGACAACGGTCGGGCTCGGTAGATTTCGGGTTCAAATGTCCAAACCAAGACAAACCGTAGGTCATGAAAACAGACCCAATTTTAGTTGATATAACGTTGGGGGAGGAATTAACCACCCTCTCTTATAGATGATATACTTTTAAAATGTGTGAAAATATTAAATTGTCCAAACTCAAATATTTTTCAGAAATTTTATATTTCTGTGACCAATTGGATTTTCTAAATTTTTGTGTCGATACTGGAAATATCGAGGCGATTATCAGAAATTTGGTGAAACAGTAAGGAACTTCGATATTTTTGTGAAGTATCTGATACTTCGTACCGAAAATTTTAAAATTTTCAGTGGAAACATTTTCCTTCCACATCAGATATTTCAAAATTTTCGGTACCCTATAAGATATCGGAAATTTTGAAATTTTTGGTATTTCATTTTTTTTTAAAATGTCAGATATTTAGAAATTTCTTATAGTTCATATATTACTAATTTTTTCTTATTTTTGCAATGAGGACTAGGGGCAAGGACGGGAGGTTTGATAGGGGTGTACCGAAAATTTCATATGTACCGGAAATTTCAATCCTTCTACCGAAAATTTTGTTCGAAAATTTCTTTATTTCTCAGTAGGGACAAAATTGAAATAAAAAAATTGGGGGTAGTATGTTTAATTTTGGGGGTGACATGTTAACTTCTCAAAGTTGGAAATTTCCTCTTATTTTTTTAGGTTTTCAAACTGTAAATTCGTCTTACTACTTCAACCATTTTCATTTTGTCTTCAACATCTCTTCTTTAAATGCTATGATAAATTTTAATTTACCGTCTTTATCATTTGCTTTGAATACTCCTTTTGTTTGATTTTTTATTTTTGTCATAGTTATGATTTTTTGTCGAAAATTATTTTAAACACAACACAAGATTGTTAAGTTTATTTAAAATATTTTCTATAAACTTTGTATATAAACATAAATAAAATGTTTTCTTTTTATTTACATGTGGTCTTCCTTTGAAAATAAAAAAGGAGTAGAAATTTTCTCTTATTTTTTTTTAGGTTTTTAAACTGTAATTTCGCCTTGCTACTTCAACCATTTTCATTTTGTCTTCAACATCTCTTCTTCAATTGCTAAGACAAATTTTTATTAATCGTCTTTATCATTTGCTTTGAATACTCTTTTCGTTTGATTTTTTATTTTTATCATAATTATGATTTTATGTAGAAAATTGTTTTAAATACAACACAAGAATATCATATTTATTTAAAGTACTTTCTATAAATTTTATTTATAAACATAAATAAAATATTTTCTTTTCATTTACATGTAGTCTTCCTTTGAAAATAAAAAAGAACTACAAAAGAAAGTAGTAATGGATAAGAATAAAGTTATAATATTTTAATAAAGATAACATTTTCAATAATGGAGTTTATGTGGTTTTTTCTTTTGAAAGTTTATTTTACAAAATTTTGGAGACATTTTATAAAAGTTTTGGTAACATGTCAATATTTGTATATACTTTTATTTTATTTTTTAATTTATGTTTAGCATTGTTATGTTTATTATTGGTTGAAGATCTTTGGAAAACTTCCATGATTTTCCTTATTCATTTTGTTTAATATTTTCTTCATTTTTACCGATATTATAAATTTTAATTTATCTGTTTCATTTTGAGTCTATCATTTGATTTCTGTCCTTAGTAAGAAAGGAGATTTTTTTTATAATTTTAATGAAAATAACATATTCAATAATGGAGTTAATATGATTTTTTTTGAAGTAGGTTTTATAAAATTTGGGGACATTTGAATTTATGACAATCTTTTGTCTCTTTTTTATTAATATTATTTATAGTAATTTTAAATAATTTATTAATTATTTCATTTATGATTGTTATAACACTTTATTCTATCTGAATCAATTTTGACTATTTAACTCTTTTACGATGTATATTTGAATTACAAATTAACCTTGTTTTTTCAATTAATACTTTTAATGTCACATCACATTTTCAACTAAAAGGTTTTAGTTTTCAACTTTTCCTGATGTACATAACTTTTGTTGTTTCTTTTCCTGCTGTACACAACTTTTTCTGTTGTCATTGTACACAAGTTTTCCTCTTCTGTCACTTTAATATGGCATATTTTATGACTTTTTATTTTTTCATTTATTTTGAATTCAAATCCTCCATTCTCCCTCTCCATTGACTTATATTTCTTTTTTCAAATTTTTATTTCTATCTTATATTCTCTATATCTTTTTGTTTTCCTCTCAATCTTCTCATTTCTCTCTCTTAAATAGGTTAAGCAAGTTTGCAAGAGGTGGAAGAATTTTAGCACTCATGATGGTCGAAGTATTTGCAAGTTTATTTTTCTTTGTTTTGGTTAAGTGTCTATTATTTTGTATTTAGATTCATTAGTACAACATAATCTAAATCTTTTTTTGTATTTGTTTGTCACTAAAGATTGCGGTTAAAGAGTAAATATTGGTGAACCATGGAGTGAAGGGTGATAATTCAATCAATAACTTAAAATTAAATATCAATTAAAGAACATTATTATTATTATTATATATATAACTTGAACATGAGGTTCTTTGTCTTTTTCTCCTTTAGTTTCTTCGCCTTCTGCTTCATCTTCATGGAAATACTGTTCAATTTCATCTGTAAGATGACCATCATCATAAAAAAGGTCATCAGCTAACTTAATCTTCTTGGGAGAAGAATCACTAGGGCTATCATCATCTTGCACTTCGTCATTACTAACCCTTTTGGTCCCACCTTGACGTACCTCTTGGTCATTCTCAACTTGGGGATTAGACTCCTTTTCAGATGGCACAACAATATCAAGTTGATTACCTACAGTCGAAGACCCTTTGCTAAAATATTTTTCGCTTGACAAGGGATGGTATGAAGCAGTACCACTATCAGGAGGAACGCCAGTCTTGATTGGAGACTCATTAGGAGTTGGTTGATTTTCATGTGTAATAAAAGAAAAAACATTAGTTCGAATAAAAGAACAGTGGTGATCGAAGAAGAATAACGAATATAAGTTATACCTTTAATCCATCAAGGCTTGAGTTGTTGCTTTCGACCCACTCCAGAATAATGCCTCTAGATGGTTGGGACGTGCTTTTCTCTTTGGACTTTGAGGGCAGTACAGTGAGCTCAGGTTTTTGCTTAGATGGTTGCAAAGAGGCTGCATCAAAAGTCTTCGCCTTCTTCTTCTTTATCTTTTTAGCATGTAAAGGAGTGGGAGCAGTGTCTTCATTATCTTCGATTTCTATTGAAATATGATGAGTAGATTTTCTTTTGTGTGTAGATTTTGGAGGCAAGTGACTAGCCTGAAAAGGTAATGCTGTTAGAAAAGTAATATAATGCAAAAAGCAGATAAAATATCGAATGATACTTGGATATCTTCGATTTTTTGGTATCTGGAGTAGCGCTTTTTGTTGAAGTGTTGGTTTGTTTATAAGCTTCAGTAGAACCTATATTCGATGTAGGTTGTTCCTTTTCTATGGTTTTCTTTTTAACAGCTAGAATAATGTACATGATAACCATGGTTAGTATAAGGTATAAAAGAAATAATAAAGGTAATCGAAAGGACCAAGGAAATCCTTTGGTTTCACACCTTCACCTGTCGGTGAAAGAATGGAAATAGCTGACAAGTCATAGTGAAGGAAGCCTTTGAAACTGTCCAAGGTATGCTTAATCGAAACCATTCGTTTAGCAGGTTTTTGAGACTCTTGTTTTAAAAAGTTAAGATAATCCTCACAAACGAACCAGTTTGGGTAAGGAGGATAAAAAGCCAAGCCAAAATTAGTGCTAGGAAGTTTTGGGAATTTTTGTGGTTGAAGTTTGAAGGCTAAGTCATATGCATCCTCAGGTTTAACACAAACAGTGATGTTTAAAAGAGGAAGCATTTTAGTAAATTTCTCTTTTAAAATTCGGGCTACTTTAAAAGTGGTTCGACTAAGGTTAGTTGGATCATAGACAGTTTCAAAGTACTTCTGGAATGCCTGGATTTCCTTGATATGTATGTGCTTACCTTTTCTGGCTCTGATCCTACATAAATACAAAAGCTTTTGTCAGATGTTGGCTGAGAAAAATGGTGTCAAATATGTTTTTCGAATAAAAATATTTCCACCAAATGTCAAAGCCCTCCAGGCAGTATTAGGATGGTTAAAAAGGAAAGTGGTTGAACTCTGCAGAGCTAACATGATAAGCCATACGTTTTTCCAAGTCTAGGAAAAAGAACTTCATTCCTACTATGCAAAGTTCACATTTCCTTCCAAATATAAGTTCAGGAATCAGTTGACAAAGTCCAAATTATCGAGACACAAATTTGGGTTGGTAGTCAAATAGGCTAATGTTGCTCTTCACAAGCATGATCCTCGAAACAGTCAGCATAGGGAGTAAAAAGGCTCTCCATATGTCAACAGTGTCTGTATCTTCAGGTGAAATGTCGAAGAGGGATCTCGTGAACCACTCAGGACCATGAGTCCTATTGGAAAAAGGAGCCATCAAAGGACTAAAGAGATGACGTTTAGAAAATATCATGACATACTTGGTAAAGCACTCCCCAAAGTTCTTTGCATCATCATCAGGAGTCAGTGGAGGCAGTCTAGTTCCTTCAACAGTTCGATTCTGAATGTCATGATCTTTGTCATCTACTGTTCCAGAAGTAGTGAGAGATGGTTCAAACGTTGCATTGAGCCACAATTGGAGAAGCCAATATGGGCCAGCCAGTAATAGGTTTGTGCTTGCTTTGTATCCTTTGAGTTTGGAGGTGGCAGATTCAAGACTTTCATATAACACAGTGAGAATTAACTCACTAAGGCATATTCTTCGACCAGAATGAAGTTGATTTTCTAAGGTGAGGAATCTTTTGGCAACTTGCGAGGATTTGCAG